GTTGACACACGTCAGGCTTTCACAGGAAGACAATATCACGTCTTCATATGACCATGCAAAAAACAAAATGTTTTAACCATTTGACAACGGCATATTTTTAAAATTTAAAACTACAAAAACTTACCTAAACTTATCCGAAAAAAATTTAAAAAATAATAAATATTATCAAAAGAGAAAATAAAAAAAAATACTTAGTTTAAGCAAATACACAAAAAAATAAATATATATATATACATATATATATATATATATATATATATATATATATATATATATATATAATATATATATATATATATATATATATAACGCATCGAAAACAAAACTCATCAAACTAAAATGCTTAGTCTATTTAATTTATGCATTAAAAAACCTTTTCAATCTTTGTTTCAACATTTTTATATTTTTTTTATTTATTTAATATGTTCAAAAGTTAAATATTTCTCATAAAAAAATACATAGTTATATAAATAAAGTAAAAAAATATTTTATTAATACTTTTTTTTAAATTAATTAGAAGTGTTTTTTTTTTACTCCATTAAAAGCGTTTCGATAATATAAAAGCATTTAAGATCAAACTTATTAAATTGTAACAGTTTTCCAAAACTTTTTAAATGCATTAACTTTAATCATTCTTATATTTAAATTCATTAAAGAGACTTTCGTAGACGTAGAATGTCATCGTTTATAAAAACAAAACAATTTTTAATTTTTTAATAAGATTTATTTTAGAAATAAACACTTAAACAATTTATATGTTTTAAATTAAAAAAATATATACAACTGTCAATTATATTTTTAAAAAAAAAACTTTTTTTCAGTAAATTGTTACTTTATTAAAAATCGTTTTTTTATTAAAAATGTAATTAATTTCACGTTTTTAGAATATTTTTTATTTAGCGCATTTCTAAATCGTTTTTTGAATTAGCCGCGGTCAAACCGTCATAGCAAAATGTAACTAGTGTGGTCATATAAAGACGTGAAATCGCACGTCTTCCTGTGAAAGCCTGCACGTTTTTATGGGTCATTAGTAACATTTTTCATAATAATAAACTTTTGATAAAGAATGCTTTTATAAAGTTGTTTAAGTCCCTAAAGTTTTATATATTACTTGAATAAAATTTGTAAAAGTTCCTGAAGTTTTTTAATAATATTTGAATATCCATTTTATTTTTTCTAGATGCTTTTCTACTTTAATTAAAGTTTCTAATTACTTATGTTGTTGGAATAAAGAATGAACTTTAAAAGCTATTATTGCTTTATAAAAGTAATAATACTATTACAGTTTTATTACTTTTATAATGCAGTTAGTGACTAGAGTGTTATTACTTTTGTAGTCGTAAGTTTATTATTTTGTTTTTTATAACTTTCTTGCTAAGAAACTTGTAATAATTTGCTCTTTTAAAACAAAGTTTACGGCTTTGCATCAATATTAAATTTTGAAGACCAGATAATTTTTTCAAATATTTTGAAGCTTAAAATATTTTTGCGCCTTACTTAGAAACTACACTAAAAGGTTTAAATAGTTTAAGAAATCTTAATGTGATAAGATGTGTATCATTCAAAAACATACAACAAAAAGATTTTTTATATACAAATAAGAAAAGATAAATGATTACTAAGCAAACATATGACCGGTGGTATTTAAAAGAAATACACAAAAAAAGTGAACAGTTGTAGGGATCGAATCACAGACATTCCATGTTTAAAGATAATGCCTTATCTAAATGAGTTAAACACACGTATACTTAGGAAAAAATAAGTATAATACAAAAAGTTATATATAAAAGTATACGGGAGCATTACATAGACGTTTACTTATCCCAGCCAACATTTGGTCGAAAAAAAACCCTTTTAATAGGCACTTCAGTCCATTTTATGATCTTGTAATAAAATTAAGTTAAAATATTAATTTTAATTTTATTTTATTTAAATTTTTAATCTCATTTTAAAATGGGTTTATCCAATTTTGTAGCACCTATGGCTGTCAAGAAATTTGCATTTTAATACTACCTAATTTGACATTTTTTAGACAAAAAAAATGTGCTTTTTCTTTTCAGTTTTTTTTTTAACATTTTTTTACCATCAAAACTGCGTAAAAATTTTACGCAACGACTTTAGGCAATAATCTATCTGTTATCATTAAATAAAATAACTTTCAGTTCACAACTAAACTTTAGAACACCAGAAAAAATATATATATATTAATATAGTCATAGCTCTATTACAACATTAAATTGTGAAAAATTAAAACATAGGTTGCCCAATTTTAAATTTTGTTGAATATTATAGATACGATATTATAAATATTATAAATTAATATAAATGATTTGTATGTATATATATATATATATATATATATATATATATATATATATATATATATATATATATATATATATATGTTATAAATATTATAGATTAATATATAAGAATAATTTATAATAATAATATATTTATACTAAAATTTATAATATATTTAATATATTTCAAACATAAT